CAGGTCGTCGTCATTAGAGTTCCCTGAAATTTATTTTTTTAGGGATGTGTTGTCGATCGAAAATACTGGAAGGCGGTGTTTCCATCCATCTATTAATACTGCCAGATTCATAAAGAAAAATTTTAACCTCCCATCACTATCAACTTGTGTACATCCCTACAGAAATATATATAGTAAAAATACGCTTATAGACGACCTAAAGACAGAGTAAGTCAAAGCACATATGGTACCTGGATTTTTCTCGATCAGCTTGCCTGCAAAAGACGGGATAAGTGCGTGCGACTGTTCCAGTAACCCACTTAATGAGTTTAAAGTCTTCTCTCTTCCTCTTCAAGCCCTGTCATAACTAATATTGATTCTGTGTTTCTTACGAACATAATCAATTATGTTGCATGGACTACAATGTCTCTCGTTGTCCATGCTTAATATTGTCTTCACACATTCACTTATCATTGTTGTCGTTGCTTGCTTATGGTGAGTATGAACAGTATCAATCGAATAAGTGTTCCCCAATACAAGTTTTCTAACAATCCATAATTTATCGTCTCCATATCGAGAGGAGCGACTATACCACTATGTTTCTTCGATGCACCTTACAACCAGCTGTTTTTGGTTGAATTTGACAGTTTTAAACTGAAAGCTTCCTTTTAATGCAATCGCCTAAAGTGACTTCTTCAACTTTTCTTTATTTTGAAAGACAAAGAATTCTTCCAACATGAAATTAGAGGGAACACAATCAAAGTCAATAGGGTCCATGAAGATAAATTTCTTCCCTCTAAGGTAAACTACATTTTGAGTGGTGTTTGCTCTTCCACTGCTTCTGTAGATGGTGTTATATACGGGGTCAGTATCCATAATTATGCAGCAGTTGCTACACATGATATCCGACAAAAGGGATATGACCCACACTACATCCTCATCTACTGATAGCCTCATAATTATTGACTTGTTCTCATCATTTCTGAATAGTGAAAGTTGTATAATTTTTGTTTCTTATGGAAAATGAAGATCTCTAGAGATGCATTCATGAATTGTTGTAGGGTGAAATCAAATGGAATTGAAACGTGCCTGGTATTGAACGCATGACAGTCCTCCCAACTTCCATTATGTAAAATGGTTGCTACAAATGATTGCATCGTATTCCGTGTTGATTGAAGCCTGAATGAGGAAACGCAGCCAATTTGGTAGCAATTTACCAGATTTCTTCTTTTTCTTTTCCCTTTTATTTTCTTTTTTCTTTCCATTATTTCAACTATTTGTAGGATTATAATTAATTTAGTTACTTTCTAGCTAGAGCTACGATGTGGCCTAGTTTATGAATTCCTTAGTTTTCTTTATTCCTAATTAATGAAATTATTTTCTTTTTGTTGAGTTATTCATTTTATTCTTTAGTCTTGTAATGGCTTGATCTTCAATTTGCATGATTTTAAGTTAAATTTTGAAATTGAATGATGAGAATTGAATTAACTTTTGAATTTTTAATCCATAAGGCTTTCATTCATAAGATAAAATATGTTTATGATTTCTTAGCTTGTGTAGGAATTTACGGATTTTTTGTGCTTAATGCTTTATTAATCGGTTCCAATTTGATAGAGATGTACAAATTTGTCAATTGAATTGTTTGCTAATAGTTGAGAAATATTAGTAATTAATTTGAGTCAATTTACTATCAACATATAGAAAATAAGTGAGTTAATTAGAGTAAAGATCCTTAAGAGAGATCATATAATTAGGTAATGTCAAAATCCTAGACTTTTTATCCTCTGATTAATTTTTTTTTAATTCATTCACAGTTCCCTTATTATTCATCGATCAGATTAGATTAAGGTTGAATTTAGTAAGTAATCATCAGCTAATTAACCATCATTTGAAACAATACTTCACTAAATATTATATTATTTGACAATTTTCGTGCTATTACACATAGTTAAAGACTTCAAGATATGCATTACTCAGATCATAAGCATTCCTCAATTAGCAATTATTATCTCTAAACACCACATGTTAAACTATGGCCTAAAAAAATGGAAAAAAAAAGAAGAAAAAAGTATGTGCTCACATATTTGTCATGTTAAATAGGTCTTATAGGAACTAAACCAACCTCCCATAGGACAAGAACAATATTCGGGTGCTGACAAGTTCTAGCATGTCACCTATTTTCATATACTGACCCACCACTAAAACTTTGATAGTTATTCGATTTTTTAAAAGGAAAAAACTTTGCTCCTCCCATTGTACTACTTACCTTCACGTGACCAAGACAAGTGTTGGTTGTTATTTTTTTTTAATTATTTTATTAAATCTCATGATCTCATCAAAATCTTCTCAAATCTTTTTGAATTCATTTTTTAGATTGGTTGGACAACTTTTCTGTCTTTTCTCTCTCTTCGTATAATTTCTCACTCCCTTTTTTCTCTCATCTTCTTCTCAACTTGAAGAAGAGTAGGGTAACCTCAATTTTTTTTCAATTTTCTTCATCTCAATTTTGTTTTTAAACTCTATGTAACTCAAGTTTATCGAATGAAAAATGAATCTGTTTAAATTGCATAACATTTCTCTTCTATTCTATGGTTTCGTTCTATGCCTTACTATGTTCTAATTTTAGATGGAAGCTTTCTGCAATTTGTTGTTCATAGTTGTACGGAGAGAAAAAATGGGAAAAGTTGTCCAATTAATCTAAAAAAGAATTCAAAAAGATTTGGGGAGATTTTGATCAGATTATGAGATTTAATAAAATAATTAAAAAAAGTAACAACCAACACTTGTCTTGTTTTTATAGGGCCACGTGAGGATAAGGAGCACAATGCTCCTCACGGGTAAGGAGCCAAGTTTTTTCCTTTTTAAAAATAGAAAAGTTATCTCTATTTTTGTATTTCTCCCTTCCGTTGGATGTGCGACATGATCCTTTGATTCCTTTGATCGAGATGAGGATTGTTGAGAACGTGATCAGAGTCCCAAATTAACTAGGAAAGAAAAAAATATTAGGTATATAAGGTAAGGACACCATCTCCATAACAATGAAGCCTTTTTGGGTGATACCAGAAGCAAACTCATGAGGGCTTATATTCCTAAACTGGAGAATATCATATTAAGGAAGATGTGGAGGGTGGTCCCTTGTTCGTAACGAGTGGCGCCTAGTTAAAGGTGATGTACTCATAGTAAGATACAAGTGAATGAGAATATCGCCGGTATACAAATTAAGGATACCATGTCCATAAAATAATAGAGGTGATATAAATGTAAATCCGTTGGAACTTATATCCAAAGTGGATAATATCATATTAATGGAGATGCAAAGTATTGTTCCATTTTAGTGACACTCAACAAGAGATTGAGGTTAGCGGATCAACAACTATGTTGTATCTAGAAAAATGTTCCTATAGAGCACCCTGAGAACGTATCCCAATGTCATTCCTAAACTAATTAATTAACTAAATAAAAATATAACTAAACTTAATTAATTAACTACCATTATTATAAAAAAAATAATAATAATAAATAATTAACTAGCCACATCATTCACCTATAATTTAATAAATGGCATCCTCGGAAGAATGATGCACTATCTGTCTATGTGGTTGTGGTTAAATTTCCACCGAGAAATTTCTTCCTAGTTTTTTCCAAATCCATATTGGAACTAAAAACAATGATTCACAATCGTTTTCTTTTTAAATAACCATTTTGATGTTTGAAGTTTCCAATTATCTATTTTAATCCATAATTTAAGAAAGAAAAAAAACTTTTTAAGTCGTTGCTTGTAATTTTTCATCTAATATCGACTTATCTAATACTCATCTCAACGAAACTCAGGTAGATACATATCCACATTAACAACATTTAATACACATACTCAAAGTTACATTATTCCTTTATTAAAATTCAAAGACTCAAATAGGTATTTTGAAAGTTTGAGAATCAAAATAGAATACTTACCTAAAATTATTTCAGAGATTAAAAATTTAGGACTCAAAATAAAATAATCCTCTTACATTTCAAGCTTTAAGAGACCGACTAAAAACTATATATTAGCTTGTGTAGGCTATTTTATATTTATAGTAAGCTTAATTAGTTATATTGGCTAACTTAAACATAGCTTAACTGAGTAAGATATATATCTATCTCTAACAAAAAAATCATAAATTTGAATCCTCATCGCACCGTATTTATAAGTCTGTCTAATAAACTTTAAAAACCTCTCCTTTCATCTTAAAGTTGGATAATTATGCTTTCATAATCTAGTCCCAATAATTGACCATTAACAAGTCAATTTGAGGGCATAGCTCAGTATAATAAGAAACTTATTATTAAAATTAAAAGTTTGATCCCCACCCATATCCTGGTTGAACTCAAAAAAAGAAAAAAAATCACCACTAACATAATGTTGTCATCAAATTATATCCATTAAAAAATTTTACGGTAAAGTTACTCGACACAACCTAATGATACATCCAATACAAATGATCTATGTGACACTATTGGAATACTTTATAAACTAAATTAGACGTGATAAGTTTATCTAAACAGATTAAAGCACATATGACATATCAATATTTCATTAATAATGAAGTTAACAACGGACTAGATAACTTTCGAGTCGAGGGACTAAATAGGTAAATACTCAAAGCTCAATGGACTAGATTCCTAATTTAACCAAAAAAAAAAAGGTACAAATAAACCAAAATTAAACATGTAGGCAAATAAAGCGGGCTTGGTTTCTAACATCTCCTTTGTCGTATAACAAATATTTTGAAAGGAATCTCTCATCTCCAAAAGAGTTTAAATTTTATTAGGATGAGATGAAAGATGTAAAATTAAAAAAGAAAAAGAAAAGAAAAGAAAAAAAAAATTGACATTAAAATTGTAGCCCATTAAGAAGACCTAAGTTTATTAAGTATTCAGTTTAATATCTACAGCCTCCCCCTCTATATCTCACCATTTTTCTTGGTAATAATTGCTCTTTACACACACCAAACATAATAATCATTGAGAGAGTCTCATCAATGGCTGCCTCAGCTTCTTCTTCTTCTTCTCCTTGTGGAGCTTGCAAGTTTCTTAGAAGAAAGTGTGTCAATGGCTGCATCTTTGCCCCTTACTTCCGCCACGAACTCGGCACCTCTCACTTCTCTGCCGTCCACAAGGTCTTCGGGGCAAGCAACGCTTCCAAGCTTCTCGCTCACCTCCCGGTCTCCCACCGCTGCGAGGCCGCGATCACGATCTCGTACGAAGCTCAAGCTCGGCTGCAAGATCCGATCTATGGCTGTGTCTCGCATATTTTTACTCTCCAACAACAGGTTAGACGTATAAAAAGTCGCTTAAATTTACCCTAACCCTATTATCTTTACTCATCTCTTTTGAGTTCAAATCAATGGATTTGGACGTTTGGTCATTAAGAATGTAAATCTATTTAAGCTTTTGAGTTAAGAGGTGATTTAGCAAAATCGTGTTGATCATCGGAAAACCCTAATTTTCCAGATCGATTTTGATGATGATTTGGATGGTGTGGGAAATGGCAGGTTCTGAATCTAAGGGCTCAGGTGGCTTATTTGAGAGAACAAGCAGCTCAAATTCTTCTCAACAACTACACCATAAGAAACCCTAACGAATTACTGTACGGAAAATCTCCATTTTCCGGCGACCCATTGCAGGATCTTCAGAGTTGGCTTCTGGCGGAGGACCGGAGCGCCGCCGCGCCGGAGTTCGAACCTGCGGCGGTGCCTTTCGTTGAGATGAGCTTGGCCGATCCAAATGTCGCCGGAGATTGCTGCTGCGAAGAGATTATTGTGGACCGTTCGATCTTCTCTCTCGATGTTCAGATCAACGGCGAATAATAACGGGAGTGAGCCTGTAAGGTTGTGTGATAATATCTGAATTTTTATTTTTTATTTTCTAATTTCTTTCTTCTGTCTGTGTTTGTGTGATAATGAAATAATGATCTGTAAAATTAAATAAGATAAGAGCCCTAAATGTTTTGATAAGTATCAATGGGGAACCCTAAGAGGTGCTTTTGATTATTGTTAATTATTATTATTATTATTATTTTAATTTGTTTTCCCATGTGTGAAAAATTATTCGCTTTTCTTGGCCATTAGTACAAAAAGATCTCAAACTTATCTTGTTTGTTTATTTTCTTTAGTTTCAAAGGTGAATTTGAAGTCATGAATTGAAATCGAAGTACTAGTTTCGTAAGAACTCTTATTAATCAGTGCGTAGACAAGTATTGTTTTCGTTACTCGACTTATATAATCATAAATTTTAGTTTTTCTTCATAGAATTTTTTCACTCTTAAATTATTGGTAACATGAATTCATATATGCATATCCTCATGTAACTATATGAAGAAAATACATCAAAAGTGATAAATGGATCTATCAAACCTAATTACTTGATAATTTTTTTTAGTTGGGATGGGGGATTAGATTTTCAATTTTATGGAATGTATAGATATCTTATTCGTTAATTTATGTTCTAGTTGGCTAATTACTACTTTTTTTAGTACAACATGTGGGGTATGGAGATCGAATCCACAATCTCTTGGTTGGAGATATATGCAAATTACCAATGAACTATACTCGCTTTGACGTTAATTACTACTTCATAACTTAATGTATGAGCATTTATAATAAAATGAAAATTTAACATATATGGGTATTTAATGTTAATTTTGTAATTTCAAGAGCTTGGTTTAAAAGTAATGAGTTGTAAAGATCAAATAATTGATCATAGATCGTGAGAAGTATTCTCCATGTTGTAGGTCCAATCCCGTAGTAGTTGTGTAATTTATTTCGTTTGATTTAATTTCTTTTAAAAAAATAAGTTTTCCAAGCTATTTATGAAAAAAATAAAAATATGGACAATTTAAAAAAAATTGAGTTTTTATTTATCTATTTTTTATTTTCTTTTTTTAATGTTACAATTCATACCAAACACGTTCAAACCTACAACTTTTGAAAAAGTTACGTACCTAGAGGAGTTAAATTAATATGCTCAAATTAGTATAAAATTTATCATATTTAAATGAGTCATTTTAAATATAATATAAAATTTAAAATTTTATGCCAACGTGAGCATAGCTCAACGGTATTTGACATATACCCCTCCAAAAAAATATGCTTGTCTGCTATATTTGAAAAAGAAATGAAAGGTTTTGACATTTTTTATAATAAATATTAAATTTATGCCAATGAATTATGTGAAATTTCCCTAAAATATTTTCAAATATGACAAATTTTCTGTCCCATATATCACTAATATATATACATCATTTTCCTTTCATAAAATATACCGGAGATATATCTAATATATAAATTATATTGTTTTTTTAGTACATATAAATTATATTGTTAATATACCATTTATGTGATAAAATATATAACTATAGAGTATACTATATTTTTGTATTAAATATAAAGTCTATCATTGATATACCAATATAAAGTATATCACAAACATACCATTTTTGTATCATTGATAAATTCTATCCGTGGTTGATATCAAATATAAAAATATATAACTAATATATTATTTTTTTATCATTGATTGAAGTCTATTAGTTTTGTCAAAATATATATATATATATATATATATATATATATATATATAATTAAAGTCTATTAGTAATATATTAACATAAAGCATACCATTGGTATACTCCATTTTTGTAACGGTGATAATTATATATCAAATATCATTTTTCTATCATGCATAAAGTCCATCCATAGTACATCTCTGACGTCGTCGAAATACCATTCTTTTTAGTACAACAAATATATAGATGGAAGATTAAACCCACAACCTCAACGAAAGTTGAACTATGCTCATGTTAACATTGACATTGACATAACATTGACAACGGAAACTTTAACTCATCAGAAAAAGCCCTAAATCTTACGCTTTACTTACTCTTCCTCCAAATTTATGCAAATATCTGGATATCTAATTTAAGCTGCATTATAAATCATATCTTATCCGATGAATCAGATTATCCAAGAATAGTTGTACTAAAAAAAAGATTATCCAAGAATACATTCATAAATATGAACGGCTATATAAACATGCTTACATAAAAATGTGTAGACTGTATATAATTTGGTTCTCAGAGTTTTGTATGATTTTTTAAAACATCTTTTATCTTTTTATCAAAAAAAAAAAAAAATCAATTAAGTTTCTAACTGACATCTAAAAGATGCTATTTTACATTAGTTGACATCATTCAAATGTTAAATACCCAATCAACCATATAGATATTAAAAAAAAAAATTAAACTTTTTAACTCTTTCCAAATTGTTTTATCAAGGCAGGCAAAAATTGTATAGTTAACATTAAAAGAAAAAATGAAATTTTATAAACTATGATATTTTTAAATATCATATCACCGTTTTCTTTATCCAAAATAATTGACTTTAATAAAAATATATCCTCCTAATTTTATCATTAATTTACTAACTTTGGTTGGTTTTAGTACTGTAGATGTTAAGTGTAATTAGTTATAAGTTAATAGATATCTTTAATTTTAATAAGTAATAAGTCTCAAATTTTTTTTTCTTTGTCATTAAAGTTTAAAAGTCCTAATAGATTTTTAACTTCCAATTTTGTGTTTATTAAATTCTTAATCTATTAAACATTTTTCTAATAAATTCATGAATCTATTAGACACAAGCTTAAGAGATTGAATTCTGTCTAATAGACTTATAATAACCTTTCAATTTTGTGTTCGGTAGAACTTGTCAAGGACGTAGTAGACACCAAATTCAAAGTTTAGAAATCCAGCTATAAGACATTTTTTTTTTAATTTAGGGATATATTAGACACAAAATTGAGAGTTCAAAAACCTATTAAACACAACTTGAAAGTTTAGTAACTAAACTTGTAATCTAATTACACTACGAGGTCGTGAGTTCGATCCCTCACCCCCACATGAAAAAAGAAAGTGAAATCTATGATAGGGATTTATTTATGTCTATTATACCCTTATATACTCCACTTTCCTTAACTCCTAATAGGTTTTCCAAATTCCACAACCACATGAGCTACAATTTTAACTTAGGTAGATTTTTTTATAATTGGATATCTTTGTAATCCTATGAATGGATAGTGGTTTTAAAAGTGCATTTTGGGTCTCAAGTCAAAGATACATTGTTCTCTATTCTATTTACCTTCATCTCTCTTTTTTATCCTACAAGTGTTGATTTTTTACTCCTAGTTTATAATAAAATTAGTAATAATCATGATTAATTGTCAGTTATTAGTCTTTTTTTAAGCTAATACTTGCATTAAATTAAACTAGCCAGGTGGATTAAATTTGAGTTTGATGTGAGTCACTTGGATCAAAGAACCCACAAAGGACAATCATTGTCCTATAATACATTAAATTTAGATATATAGGAGGACATTTTTTTGCCAAAGATGAGCCCTAACATTTTTTAGTCAATGATTTTTATGATTATATAGTAAAATCATATCTAGATCATTCTTATAAAAAATAAAGTCATACTTAGTACAATGTATGATAGGAATTCGAACTCACGACCTCATATTGACATATTTATTATCCTTGATATGATATGAATTAATTTTGCCTTTAATTTATAGTTGCTACAGAAATTAATTATGGAACCTTAGATTATTAAACCATCTTGTCTATAATCCAACAAATCAGTGAATTTTTTTCAAAATAATAATAATAATAATAAATCGGTGAACTCAAAATATGTCTATTCCTTTTGAATTATAAAAATTAGAGTAATTAATTAATCAAAATCTCATTTATGCACCTAAATACTCGTTTATGTTAAGAACTGTTTAAATAATCAAATTGATGTAATGTATTAATAATTTAACAGGTTAATGAGTTCAAAAAGAAATAATAATTTAACACAGTTAATTGTTGAACATAGACTACTAATATTATATTTTAATAGTCAAAGCGATCATAATTCAACCTAATTGACATATATCTACAACCAAGTTTTGAGTTCGATGTCCCACTCCAAGAAATTATATATAAATATTTATTGAACTTCGAGTAAAAATTTAATATATGTAGCTTTTCCAAATTACTGGGTGGCCTATTTCTCTTTTGATAAATAATAAGAAAGAATACTAGGTGGTGCATATGAAAAGTTGATTTCATTGACCATTTATAGCCATTAGCAATGGTGGAATGATTAAAATATGAACGTCTTATTTTTTATTTTTTATTTTTGTTATTATTAATTTTTTTTAATAAACACCTCATTTAAGAAAACTGAATTGCCTCGTGCACTACAAAGTTGAAAAGCCATTTTTCACTTTCTGGAGAAACCAAAAGAGAAAATCAGATAGTCGGAAAAAAAAAAGTCCACGTTAACAGATCGTGCGTGCTTGGGGTGAAAATCGTAGTGTCACATGGAGGATATAGGTTGGTACACCTGGAACCATCTTCACTCAGGTCCACCTCGAACCCATCTGAGGTGGAGTATGGAAAAAAATCTCATACTTCTATCGCATGGATAAGCGGAAAATAACTTAGAAATTTAAAGAAAGAATTAACGTGGAAAAAGTCCAAATTGAAAAAAAAAAATACTAACCCACAAGGAAAAATCCACTATGTGAGAATTTATTACAATCACACAGATCTCACTCTTTTAAAGCAAATACCGCTTAGTTAACTAGAGTTGGTATACCAGACTTAAAAATATTTCAATCGGGATGATTAAAACTCAAGTTCATAAACTTGTTTTATAGTAGTTAGAACACATTTCCTCCTTGTACCTTTCTTATGTGGGACAACTTCTAGCACTTGGAGACTGTACTATTCCAACGTGGCACAACTTTCATTCCAATATTTTGC